GCTGTTGTTGTTGTTCCCGGTCTTTTTCTTGTTCTTGTTCTTGCTCTTATGTTGTTCTTGTTCTTCTTGTAGATCGGGTTGCGCTTGCGTCGCTGCGGCTTCTTCGCGCTTTTGTTGTTCTTCCTGCCTACCGTATCGGTGCCATGCTTCTTTGTGCTCCCTCGAGTTCAGTGTCATTGTTTGTCGTCTTTGTGTAGTTCGGACCACGGCTGCCACCGCTACTCTTCAACCCTATTAAATGCCTGCCGTAAGCCCGCGACTCCCAGCCTCTCAATAAGCTGATCTATGCCCCCTAAGCCCCCTAAGCCCCAAGCCTCTTGCACCCTACTCCCCCTAACCAAGCACTCGCACTGGCGGTCGTGTGTAGTACCGTCAAGTTAGGTTGCACAGAAGCGCCTCGGGGACGATGAGCTTCATCAGGTCGCTGCCGCTGTTCTCATCAGGCCGGGAAAGCAAGGCCTTCAGCTCAGCCTGCATGGTGGAGTCTTACTTACTACCACGTGCGAGGCTCGGGCCAGCTCAGAAAGGGTCTGAGGAAGCAAGAAGCGGCTGCCCTGCTGCCTGGCTTACCTGGCCCAGCTTGTTTTCAAGCACGGAGCTTGTTTTCAATGATTTGAAATTACCTAGCAGTTTTCCGGAAAACTGCTAGGTAATTTTATGTCGAAATGTTCTGAAATTACCTTCGTCAGCTTTACCATATAAGGCAAAAGGTAATCTTACAGCATTATGTTGCAAAATTACCTAGCAGTTTTCCGGAAAACTGCTAGGTAATTTAAGATCAGATTGCATCGAAATTACCTTTTTGGGTCTGTCTTGCGGAAGCTCCGGATCTCACGGGCCGAGCAGCACCGGTGCTCGGCCCAGCCTGCGAATTAAGAACATCGGGCCGAGCAGACCCGCAGCAGCGGAGCGAGATTGCAGTGCTCTCTCTCTGGATCTCAGTCTCTTTCTGTTCTCTCTCCTCTCTGTCTCTCTCTGTCTGTCTCTCTCTACTCTAAGTACTGCTAGTCTTTCACTCGAACTTACAGCACTAAGTCAACAGCAATGCGCTGCTGTCTGCTCGGGCCTATCTTTCTACTTTCGGGCCCGCAGGCCCATCAGCGACACGAGCAAGCTCCCTCCCACGCAAGGAACACTCATGCTGTTGCCAGCTGTCTCGGCGAGCTTTTGCTCGGACCAGAGTTCTGTCTTGTACCTCGGCGCTTTGGCCTTTGTCGCGTGTGCTGGGATCGTTGGCAGGACCAACGAAGCATACAGCTCACGGCCGCTGAGTAAGCGACGTCGGGCCTGCCGGTCACGGGAGCACAGCAGTAGCACGATGACATGCCTGCAGCCCTTTACTTACCATAGGACGAAAGACCGAAAAGACAACCAGCCACGCCGCACCTTGTCGTAGAACGCTCCGGAGTTGCGAGTCAGGGTGGACAGACTGCCTTCACGGGTGTTGCCGCGGCCGAATCTCGTTGCCCCGTTTTGGCTCAGGTCGTAGACCCTCAGGCGGGGGTAGTTCTTCTCGTAAAGCTGCTTGTTTCGGACCTGGACAGAGCTTTTTTCAATTCCCCGCCCCCTTGTACGACGACCTGTGTGTATGATCATGAGAGCGAAAAGTACTATGCGCACGTATGGAACTACCAATTAAACGGCAGCAGCCGAAGCAGTGCTATCATCAGACTACGGATACCAGCACTAGTAAGGTGTACGTCTTCAGAGCATGATAATCATTCAATAATATCATTCAGAATTCGCGGAAGTATTGTTCATTCATGAATGTGCCCGCCTGTGCGTCGGACAGCGCGCGCCGTACGGGAGCCCCGTCCCACAAGTAGTCGCCTGCCGTCATCTGCGGTCGGGCCCCAAGCTCAAGCAGGAGCTCCTTGAAGTCGGCACACCCTTCATCCCACTTCAGAACCGCTGTGTTGTACATCAGGATGTACACACGCGGCCTGGCAGCCCCAAACCCGAACGCACGCGGGTCCAGCCGCATCGAAGTCACATGCCAGCAAGGCGGCAGCATCTTTCGGGCCAGAGCCGGCTTGTACTCGGGCACGTTCTCCAGGATCGCAGCATCAAAGTGGTTCTTGATCTTCTCGTACATTGCCTTGTGGGTCGAAAAAACGGGGTCCTTGGTCTTGCGCCGTCGGCCCCTCGCAGAGAAGGGCGTGCACGGAGCGCCGGCGACAAGCAGCCGCTTTCCTTGTCCAAGGGACAAGCAACAAGAGCTGTGTGCAGCTTCAGTGTCAAAGGTTCAGGCTTGAGGACTCAGGGTGCAAGGTTCCGGGTTTTGGGTACAGATAAGCTGAAATCAACACGAGCCACGGGCCGGTTTGCGGGCCGACTTCTGCCAGGGGCAGACACCGCCGTGCACACAACACGCGTGCATCTGCTGGCCGGGTTGCCAGTCGAAAATGTCGGACCCCATGCAAATGCCGTACGTGGAACGAACGACCTCCTGGCAAAAGGCGTCCTTCTCGCAGCCCCAGGTGCACTTCAAATCCAATGATCGGACCGTCGACTTGATGCTGAAGGCAGCCTTAGCGGACCACCCAACAAAGCGGGCGCCAGTCAATAATAGTGATAGGGTGACTAGTACGACTACCAGTGTAGTACTACGTACCATAACAACAACTATTACAATAATACAAGTACAACAACAACAACATCAACAACAA